ATTCGATTTAGGGTTTCCAGCTCCCCTAGATGTGTAGACTTGTGTATCCACCAGTTCGGTTATGAATGACAGACTTTCCAATTAACCAGCCTTATCACTTTTATGAGGATCACCCACACCACATGAAGGCAGTGAATAAAACTTAGCTGGAAGAGGCTATAAAGGCGTGGCCATATGGGGACATTTCGAGAGGGAGACCGAAGTCTAACCACCCTAAGCCATAACAGTTCGTTTACAGGGACATAAACAATCTGTAGAAACTCGGCATAAAAACAAATAATGTTAGTATACTACTTGCAAGTAGTTCGGAAACATTTAATAAAAGTTTTATCCACCAAATAATTTCATAGTATAAAAATCAAAACAAATAGTAATCATGTAAGGATAATAATTTCAATATAGACTTGTCTGGAAAACATTAAACTGTTACTCTTCAGTGAGTTATGTTACAAAATATAATTACGAAAATTAACACCCGTCATCATCAATAATCGACTAAAATTCTGCGTACTATATTATCAAGTGAGCATCAGATGATGAGTAGCCGATAAAATCAAAAAGCATAAGATGGATGCTACTGTTAGCCCTATAAGCAATCTGACACTCTAGACAATGGTTAGACTTCGTTATTCCACTCCAAATGCTACCATGCGGCTTTATACTCAAAGCCTTTCACAGGTAAATTCTATTCAGTGCCTCCACCGCTAGAGGTGGAGGTACTCCTCACAAAATTGAAAGGGCGGATTCGAAAGTCTCCCATCTACCGAAACGAGTTGGAAAACCCTTATTCTGGAAATCACGTGCATATGGGCTTCAGAGTCCAGACGGATCGAGTGATGTATGAACGTGATTTGGTCACCGGAAATCATAGTCATGTAGTTCCTGGCGCTGCTCCACTTCCTTGTGGATCAAACGTTAAGTCTAAGGTTTCATAGTGTGTATATCCTTAATACAACAACCTGCTTCGTCCTGAGCATTAGATTAGTACTCGAACTCTTGCGTGGCGCATCTCCTGGAGCCAATAATGTAGCAACCAAATAAGCGTGAAATATTGAATTATTGAGTATCTTAATACCTTTCAGTAATCCCAATTTATGAAAATATTTGAAACATTAGATCACTATTTGCACCCATACTGCAATTTACTCATTAATTGGCAATTGTGGTAGTCCATATTTGTAAATTTCACGGGCTAATAACTGTTCTCACTTACCTACCTCATTGATTATATCAATCATAACAAGAAACTAGTGCGTCAGTGGCACACGGATAGAATGCTCCCCAACCACGCCTCACGTGGTCCGGAATTCAATCCCCGGCCACGGACCCACTCCCAAACCTCAGTAAGTCAGTAATAAGATTGGCAAGGAGAGAAAGTTGCGCTTTAGGCTAGCAACTCCATCCCATAAACATAAACACCACTTCTACAGAAACTTCAAGCCTGTAGCTTGAAGCCCTATGTTCCACCGGGAACGTAAAGGAATACATAGAAAAAACAACAAGAAACTTATTTCGGAGTACGTCATCAGCGAGTGCTAGATTATTGTGGTAACGAAATAACTGTTTGGGAAATCCCTTCTGAACCAATCTAATCCAATATTTATACTTATTGGGATATTTTAACTAACTTAGTAATTTTGATTGGACATTAGTAACTAGTATGACGTGTCTAGTCCTTTCTTTAGTGAAGACTGAATTATATCAGTCAGGTTTGCAATAGAGGCCACCAATCAAAGTATCCATTGCAGTCCTACAGGAGATTAATCGCGAGCTGGCCCGAATAGCTCAGTGGTGACGTCTCTGACTGCAGCACTGGGTGACGCAGGCAAGAATCACAGAAGGTTGCAGATACGCCTTGCTGACTGATGAGTGGCAACTAGCACGAAACCTAGGTCGAGCAAGGCTTCCTGGGGCCGATTGCCGCCAACTATCTAATAATTTTGCACTCACTATCTGCTTTTCTCCTAGACTCTACATTATCATTCTGACAATTGCACATCACTCGTTTACAACATCCTTATTATTTAACTTTGCCACTGTTTAAAGTAAAATTTGAATGCTTCTCTTTGTCATTGTCCGATACATTGATAATGTGGTACTTTACGAAGGGATTTTGTTTTAGTGAATTAGGGTCATTCGGAAATTTGACTGCCAGTGCGAATTGTTTGACGGGAAATTCTTGCTGCAAGGATTTTGATCCCATCATGTTGGGAATGTTCTACTTCTTCTTACGGTATTATGGAATTTCTGTTAACCAAATTGTACATGAACGTTTTCTTAACCGTATATAGCTGCCCAACGGCACTGTCAAGGTAATTTCCAGTTTTTGATGTCATTACTATTGAATAGGTTCATAGGTCTTACGACGAGTAACCATCTTTCTGCTGACTTTGGAGCATTTTTCGACTGTGTATGTGTGTGTCTCAAGGAAGTTTTAGTCAGCTATACCAGCAGGACGCAAAGATCGACTTCCTGAGTTTAGATTGTGACAAGTCGATTTTAATCACTACACTTGTTACACTCGTGTATTTATAGAAATTTCTCTGTGCAAGAAATTAGAATCAATGCTGGTTTGCAGGGATTTCGTCGATCCCAAGTTAAAACAAGAACTTACATCAATTCGGGAACCAGGTAGTGACTTCGTCCTACTTAAGAACTCCATGATTCCATCGGGGATCTCTATTCACCACTGACTAGAGTGAGAAGTGGTGAACATCAGGATCTATCAAGTTGGGTGTGAGTACAAATACCCACACCAATGATGAATGATACTAACTGCTGCTTGCACTCACTATATATATTGCAATTGACAAAAGTTAAAAATTCATGTGTCATTTGATTACACATCCTAGTGGGAACAGTGGTGGGTGACAAAGGCGAAAGAGATGGAAAAAGCATTGGCGATAGGCAACTCTTTAGACTCATCAGGGAAACGGGTGGGAGAAGGCAAATCATAAGTGAGACTATTTCTGAGAAAAATGGCTCCTTAATTAGCTCTCAGGATAGACGCCTTGAACGCTGGAAAGAACACTTTGAGGAACAATTTAACTTGCCTACAGCCACACTGAACCTCCCCGCCATCCACACACACCCGAATGGGATATAGACACTGGTCCGCCGTCTGTAAGTGAGGTCACAAAAGCTATCAGTAATTTGAAACGAGGCAAAGCGGCAGGACCCGACGGAATTATTCCGGAGGTGTTTAAATATGGGGGTGACATACTAGTTTGTAGATTAACTGAGGTACTAGGCAAAGTCTGGGAATCAGAGACAGTTCCATCAGACTGGGGTAAGTCACTTATTATACCGATATTCAAGAAGGGAAACAAGTCCTCGTGTGATAATCATAGGGGGATCAGCCTAACGAACATAGTCTCTAAAATCCTAGGCTCAGTAATCATGCATAGACTAAGCAGAACTCGGGAGGAACAGACAAGGGAAAATCAAGCAGGCTTTAGACCAGGTAGAGGGTGCATAGATCATATCTTCACTCTTCGACAGATTCTAGAACATAGACACACTTTTCGGCGTCCAACAATTGTCATATTTCTTGACTTGAAGGCGGCCTTCGACTCCGTGGATCGAAAGGTACTATGGCAATGTCTGACTGTGAAGGGAGTGCCAAGAAAGTACATTGCACTAATCAAGGCACTCTATTCAAACTCACGTAGTCGTGTAAGGGCTTATGGGGAATTGTCATCTGAATTGGTAACAACCAGTGGTGTCCGACAGGGATGTCCACTTTCCCCATTTCTGTTTAACTTCATCATAGATATGCTGATGGAAGTATCCTTAACTGAACGTAATGACTTAGGAATCGACTTGTTACCAGGGAATAGTCTTATGGACTTAGAATATGCAGATGACATAGTCCTGTTAGGGGAGGATGCTGACAAAATGCAGAGTCTTCTGAACACCTTGAGCAGCAATCTTCGTATGTTTGGCATGCGATTCGCCCCTGCAAAATGTAAGATGCTGCTACAGGACTGGACCACGTCAACCCCTAACTTAGTGATAGGGAGTGAAGTGATAGAACATGTTGACCACTTCACCTATTTGGGAAGTTGTATTAGCACCAACGGACTGATTGGCGATGAAATCTCAGCACGGATCCGAAAAGCTCGAGCTGCTTTCGCTGACTTACACCATCTCTGGCGTAGGCGTGACATCCGGTTATCAACCAAGGGACGTGTGTACTGCTCATCAGTTCGCTCCGTCCTTCTCTATGGCTCTGAAACATGGCCAATACGCGTTGAAGACATGAAAAGGTTGACTGCTTTCGATCATAGATGTCTGCGATCTCTGTCTCACGTTAGGTGGTTTAATAAGGTAAGTAATGTTGACGTTAGGCGTAGAGTGTTGGGCAAAGAGGGAAAATCAATCGACGAGGCTATAAAGTTACATAGACTAAGATGGCTAGGTCACGTGCTGCGCATGCCTAACCACCGCCTCCCCCGACGGGCATTACTAGCTGATATAGGTGCAGGTTGGAAAAGAGCCAGTGGTGGCCAAACAAAAACATGGCCTCATCAATCCATGAAATCCTTGACAGTTAAACTGAGTCAGGTAGGGAGATGCAGACTCCCGGGTTGGGGCCCTCGGGACTCTAGGAATCAATGGCTGGAGACAATAGGTGACATGGCTCAAAATCGTTGTCAATGGCCAGCGCAGATGTATTCAGTCTCTGTAATCTTTCATATTCCTTTCTACCATTACCCATTCTGTTTCACTCTTATACTTGTCAAACTCTATTGATTCTCTTCACTCATCTTCTTGTCTACCTCTGTGTGCTATTTGGAACGTGGCAACTCGAACTGCTGCACTTCGGTGCCAAGTTCTATGTTGAATCCAGACAGACAGACATCCTAGTGACTATATGGTCAGCGGGTTCGCCTTAAAAACTGAATACTACTCGATTTTTTTGGCTGCATAAATAAATTTTAAAAATTGTCCAAATAATAATTTTTTTAAGCATTGGAAAAAGCATAAAGCAACTTTACTTCAACAGTATTTCAATATGATCAAGACCATTCACTGTATTACGACTCAATCCTTGATTGCTTTGATATAATGAAGTCAGCAGAAAATTGTCTTCATTTACTGATATCTTCCTAAAATCGAGTTTTGAAATTCTAAAAATTAAAAAAACAAAAAATCCAGAAACAGTATTACGTGATTAACACCAATAGACACAGTAAAATAAAATGACAACAATTACTAACGTCATAAGGAATTGAGGATATTCATATATTAGGCAGTTTAACTAGCAAATTGTAAGTTACATAGTTTAAGTCTACGATTAGTCCACAGGAGGAGAAAACTCCCAAGTAGATGTGTCACAGGATGATATTGCATGACATTCTGGTCTTCTCATAAGCTGAAATTTAGTGTTCTTGATTCTCACGAAAGCCAATGTGTAACGACAGAAGACAAGAGTCAGGTAACAGATCGTTTATTGAGAGATATTTATGTACATTATTATCTGTTATTGCTGGCAGAGAAGAAACGTCTTCTGATTGACTGTTTTCCTTCTGAAGGTTATTCTGTCATCGTATCCGCCCACGCTAAGTCTGTTGTGATTGGTTGTTGAGTTCCTCAACGTTAGGCTTTGTTCTCGTTTTTTTCTCATGATCCCGATTCGGGGCGTAAAGGTTAGGGAGAGGCTAACAACCTCACACCAACCCACAAAAACACACAATTGTTACTGAAACCTAAAAACTTAAGGTTTGAAACCCTATGCTTCACTCAGAAAGCGAAGGAGCGCATGCTTATGCATAAAAGGTATGACTATTCATAGTGCAGGATATAATCATATCCGGTGGCAACAAGGATATAATAGCTCTACAACCGAAGCAAACAGGCACATCTAAATGTAAGACGTCCACAACTGCTAAACGACAATCAAAACAAAATCCATTGTCAGCTTATTATGACTGAACGATAAATATATTGTATAGTGTCCTCAATGTATACTTCATTTAAACACATCTTCACGAAAAACAGACAGTTATCTGTAGATGATTAATTGTACAGAATTAAATCTCGACACTAATATTAATTATTAAGAGTATATAAATATGTAACGACAGAAGGCAAGAGTCAGGCAACAGATCGTTTATTAAGGAAATCAACATGTATTTATATATTTTCATGTACATTATTATAGCTTATTCAAGCAAACGAAAACACACTTCTGATTGGTTGTTTCTCATAGAAAGTTGACCTTGAATCTCTTTGTGACTGTTACTTGAATGTCAGGTCATCTATAATTTAAATGTATCTGCCTACACAAAGTCTGCTGTGATTGGTTGTTGAATCAGTCATGTTCATATTTTCTCACGCCCAATATTAGCTACATAAACATTGACGTAAGTTAATGTCTACCAATTGGCTAGCAGCCTGCTCTCACCACAAACATACTAACAAACCTGGCTCTTAAATGATGCAGATAGTTAAAGTCACATAGGCTAAATACAGAAACCAAGCGAAATCTAGAATATGACTTTATTTTCTTATTTTTTTATTCTTTACTTTCCAAAAGGAACAACGGGATTCGAGCTTAAGTCCTTAAGTTTCAGTAGCAGTGGTGTTTCTTATTACACGGTGGAGTTGGCTGGACCACCACCTAACCTTCTCTATTTACCTAATTTACTGCTGGCTAGGCAAGGCAAGGGAACACATAAGCCATGGATGAAGCCATCAAAAAAAGACAAAAATCAGGAAATAATAGGTATGCAATAGTTACCTTTTAGTCAAAACAATCTGTTACTACTACTGTGGTGAGAGCAGGCTGCTAGCCGATTGGTTGGCACTAATCTACGTTAAGGTCTAGGTCACTAATATGGGCCGTGAACAAGGCTGAGTCAACAACCAATCACAGCGAAGTTAACGTGGCAAAATATGATTCGCAGATAGAGAACTCTGTTTGTCAAGGAATCCCGAAACAACCAATCAGAAGCCTGCGTTTGTCTACCTAAACAACCAATCAGATGACTGCGCTTATCTATAATAATGTTGTCTGAAATATGTATAAATACGTGTTGATTTTCATAATAAAACGATCTGTTGCCTGGCCCTTGTCTTCTGTTGTTACATTTGGTGTCGCTGCCTACCGACAAATGAAAAGCCTATACCCTGCAGTTTTTGATGGAGACATATGGATCTTCGGGCAGGACTTCAAGGCTTCTGCGCAGTTGAGTGGCGTTCAAGATCTGTCAGCGATGGAGCTGCTACTTGAGACGCTGCTGGGAGGTCGGGCGAAAGCAGCATATGAAGGTGTGGGCCGAAGTATGGACGAATGTTCGACAGGGTCAGGCAAACAGTTTCCAAAGTGGGAAGGACCATATATGGTCACTTCGAGATGGGGTTACGCAGACACAGTCGCAATGGCGAACAATGAGAGGCGCGTGAACGTCAGCGAGCTCCAGAAATGGATACAGCGAGACAAGCCAACGATGACGCCTGCACCAAGTAGATCAAGCCGACTTCAGTCGCACGTATTTGACGGGGGGACGAGTGTGGTGAGAGCAGGCTGCTAGCCGATTGGTTGGCACTAATCTACGTTAAGGTCTAGGTCACTAATATGGGCCGTGAACAAGGCTGAGTCAACAACCAATCACAGCGAAGTTAACGTGGCAAAATATGATTCGCAGATAGAGAACTCTGTTTGTCAAGGAATCCCGAAACAACCAATCAGAAGCCTGCGTTTGTCTACCTAAACAACCAATCAGATGACTGCGCTTATCTATAATAATGTTGTCTGAAATATGTATAAATACGTGTTGATTTTCATAATAAAACGATCTGTTGCCTGGCCCTTGTCTTCTGTTGTTACACTACTACTACTACTACTAATAATAATAATAATAATAATAATAATACTTTGGTGAGAGCTGACTGTTAGTCAAAATTCATGGACAGTAATTTACGTCAATGTTCATGTCCCAAATATTCGTCGTGAGAAAAATAAGGACAAAGGCTTTGCGTAGGCGGATACAGTTAACATATAGATGATCTATCATTCAAGAAACAACTACAAAGAGATGCAAGGTTAACTTTCTCTGAGAAAAAACCACTCAGAAGACTGTGTTTTTCTGCTAACCATAATTTATAATAATGTACATGGATAAATATAAATATGTGTTCATTTTGTATATAAAGGATCTGTTTCCTGGCCCTTGTCTTCTGTTGTTACAAGCATATGTAACGTGATTGTTGAGCAATCACTAAGTGACACTATCTCGCAATATGCCATATGAAAAAAACATGTATCCATTTTTGTAGATTGTGATGTGCTGCTGACTTCTCTTGTAGAAATCACTCATTATTATTCTGCCTTCTGATAACATGTACTGTGACTACACCAAAACTGCCTGATTCGAGTATATGAACCTGCCTAGTAAAAGCTTAGTTATGAAGGGATCGGTTAAGAAGTGATAATTCATGTCATATCTTGTTTCTCTGTCTGGTTATCATATCATGTGTCAGAATTATACAAGAACGCCTAAACTTAGGCAGGTTTCATAGCTCTAGGCATATTTACACCTTTACACGGCATTTATGAAGTCAATGTGTGTTGATTTCCTAAATAAACGATCTGTTGTCTTACACCCTTGTCTTCTGTTGTTACACTACTACTACTACTCCTACACAACTTCAACTATTACTACAACGAATAAAGAAAATTTTTTAAGAAAAAACCGACAAATATATAAGTTACCTTTCTAGTGATAATCTTATACACGGTAAAAAGTTGATAATCAACTGTAGACTACGTAAAGTTAAGGCGAGATTTTTAGCTGATATCCTTTGAAGATCAACTTTTTCACATGCTTCAGCACCGAGTACAAGTTGACATGTACGCGAATTGAAATGCTAAAAATATAGACAAATAAATAAATAAATAAGAAATGATGCAAGTGTCGAATTTCAGTACTGTGTGATAGAATATAAGTTTATTCGATACATGACATGCACAATTTATTACTGTTCATAAATGTATCAATTTTATTCACACAATTACATGATTTACTTCATACATATATTTTCTTGTCTTCCCCTAGTTGTGTATTGTAACTTTCTATATAATTTTCTACAATAATAATAATAATAATATAGCATTCAACAGCTATATGACAATGCCACGTGTCAGGCGACCCACAACGGAAAACTCAGTGAGGCATTCCAAGTGAATACAGGCATAAAACAAGCTGACTACCTGCCAATCTATCACCTGCGATAACACTCTTAATTGTCGCGGACTGTATTATGCATCACAATGTGCACAGGGAGCGAGGAGACAGGAATACGCTCCACCACCGATAACAAAACTCTAAAAGATCTGGATTTCACGCCTGGATGAGTTATGTTTAATGCCACACAAACTCGAACAATTACAAGCGAAAACCAACAAACTGGCTGAACAGACCAGCAGCGAAGACAGGACTTCAGGTGAATATAGAGAAGGTGGAGACAGAGGTGATGAAGATAACCAAACAACATCTAGTTGGTGGTTTAAAATTGCGAGGTTTCCGATGTTCTTCTTCTTCTTCTTCAAAACAACATCTTTAGCGCAAGCTTTGATATGAAATGACCTTATGTGGATTCTCTATGAGTGAATTATTTCTATCGTAATACAATTTTTGTCATTTTTATTCACTTGGAATTGAAACCTTTTTGTCATGTTACTATTACCATTGTCTCCTTTATTTCCTAGAGAAACATAGGGCTTCAGTCCCACGTCTCCACTGCGTTCGCTTCACCTCCAACCTTTTCACCTCGCTACACGTCTTTCCACATGCTTTCATCTCCTCCTCCTCCTCCTCACATAACCTCCTCTATGTCACCGTACCCACACACTGACAACCAAACCGCCGCTTCCCACTGGGGTTCCACTCGAGCGATGGTCTGATGTGTGATGTCACTTAATGGTTTGTTGTCGAAGAGTATGGTCAATCCTCCTCCATTTCTTCCTGCATATTCGTTGCATAATTGGTTCCTGGTTGGTTAGCTCATTGCCAGAGATCCCTGTTGCTGATCTTTTCAGGCCGGCCATCTGATCTTAGGTAGTATTGAGGAAGACAGCTGTTGATGAAGGTCTGTAGTTTGTTCAAAGTGGTCTTCGTGACGCGGCGCCGAGTCTGTGATCCGTATAGTAGCACTGACTTCACGTTGGAGTTGAAAATCCGAATCTTATATCTTGTCATGTTACTTAATCTTTATCAACTGATAAATTTGATCTATAATGATGTGTCTGTGTTAATTGCTCATTCTTCTGAATGCTACTACCGAGCTTCTAGAATTCCCCTGGCATTTTTTGTCATTTCCTCCGTTTAAAATCTCTACATTTACCCATTTTCACATTTATATCCATAATTATCGACATGCATCGATATATAATAATAAATATCATCTCTTTTCATAACTATTTTTTATAGTCTTGGATTCTGAATCAAAAGCGATGATGACCGCTTTGACCAATATAGACGTTTTGTCACAATTGATGCAATTTTATTTTATAGACGGTATTGATTATGCCTTCTTTTAATGTTGGAGATACAATTAATTATAATATCATTCATGGAAAATTCCCATTGTGACATTTAGAAAATCAAAACAAGTGATTCAACGAAAGGACTCTTTTCAACAACGAATTTATTATCAAGCTGTACAATCGTATATATAAATGGTTTCTAAGATGTTATATCCGGTGGGGGAATTGAATCATAGGTGTGAATGCATAAAACAATAATAATAGGGTGGTGAGAGCTGACTGTTAGTCAAAATCGGTGGACAGTAATTTACGTCAACGTTTATGTCCCAAATATTCGTCGTGAGAAAAATGAGAACAAAGGCTTTGCGTAGGCTGATAACAATTAACATATAGATGATCTATCATTCAAGAAACAACCACAAAGAGATGCGAGGTTAACTTTCTCTGGGAAACAAGCAATCAGAGGACTGAGTTTTTCTGCTAACAATAATCTATAACAATCTACATGAAAATCTATAAATACGCGTTTATTTCGTAAATAAAGGATCTGTTTCCTGGCCCTTGTCTTCTGTTGTCACAATAGTAGTATGAAAATTAATTAAAATGTTTGTGGTTATAATCATAGTTAAATGTCAAGTGGCAAAACAATTAATGTCATATATAGAATAATTCATATGAATTATTACTATTTTATGCATTCACATTATGACTCAATTCCCTCACCGGATATAACTTCTTAAAAAACATTTATATTCACGATTGTACAGCTTGATAATAAATTCGTTGTTGAAAAGAGTCTCTTCGTTGAATCACTTGTTTTGATTTTCTATAATATCATTCACGGAGAATTCACTTCATATTAAAACTTTCACTGAAGAAGTTCTTGTCTAAAAAAGGACAATGAAAGCATGGCGAATTACAATAAATCACACCAGCCATCGGTGACACAGGGGTAGGATGCTCGCCAACCACGCCTCGCGTGATCCGGGGTTTGGTCCCTGGCCATGGACGCACTCCTTTACCTCGCTAAGCTAACAATAGGACTGGTAAAGAGGGAAGGTTGAGCATGAGGCTAGCAACTCCATCCCGTAAAAATAAACACCACTGTTACAGAAACTTCAAGCTTTATGTTCCACCAGGAACGTGAAGGAATTTTAAAAAATACAAACAACAGCGATCAGCTCAGTAGTTAACCCAACTAAATTCAAATGCATGAAAAATTAATTAAATAATTCTACAGAACTAAAGAGAAAAATTGTTATGAAGATATATCTTACATTGAGTAGATCAGTTAACCGATCTAAAACAAATTCTGTAGCCAATGGTTGACACGGTAATTTCTCATCCAATTTAATATATGCATTAATCATTGGCAATAAGAGAACAACAGTACCAACAATAATATATTGTTCCCCATTTAGAAAAAGATGATTCTGTGTTCTAACTGTTTCATTCTGTAACTGAAATGTTATTTAGAATTAGAATAATAATAATAATAATTAGCGCAATACGACAAGAAGACAAGTTAATACGTAACACACAAAAACAAAATTCCATAGGGGAATTATGACAAAAAATATAATTTTCAAGTATTGGTTTTGTAGGGATTTTGTTTGATTCGATGGGGAATTTCATCATGAGCTGACATCAGTTAGAGAACCACTGGAAAACCTGAAGGGAGTACTGAACAGCGGTTTCGTCCTAATTTAGGACTCTTCATCAGTACGCACACACGCCCCACCCACAGGGATCAAACCCGGCACCTTCAGGTTACGAGGCCAAGCTTGTTGACCACTCATACATCAGAGCTGATGTCCAATGTCTCAAAGAACCTAACTTCTATCGTTTCGCGATTTTAGAACAACCACCAACCAATGTAACCCCCCCCTAGACTATTAGCTCGCTAGCTTTTTAGCCTGTCCAAAGACCCGATAAAGAGGGAGGGTTGGGGCGTGGTGCTAACAACTCCAACCCCCAAAACTCAACCAAACCGCTACAGAAACTTCAACGCATAAATACATTAAAAATTCTAAAAATATAGACAATAACCTTATTTATCGCTGGAATCGGGGAAGCGAAATGACGCAGGCTGGTGAAAGCCTTCGGGAAGCCAGTCAGCCGATGTGCCTTCTTCCCATGAAAGCAAACGAAAGGATGGGTACCTGGGATGTTCGTACAATGTACGAAACTGGAAAGGCTACCCAGGTAGCCGCCGAAATGAGGAGATATAGAATAGAAGTGTCGGGAATCTGCGAGAGCAGATGGAACCGATGTGGTAGGTGCTAACTACCAATTGGGGAGACAGTAATTCATTCTGGCCACCCAGAGGACAATCACGAGCACACCGAGGGAGTGGCCATCATGATGTCACCAGCAACAGCCAAAGCTCTCATGCAGTGGGAACCAATCTCCTCCAGGATAATGACAGCCAGATTCAACTCAAAAGGAAGGAAGGTTACAACTATTCAATGCTATGCGCCTACAAACGTCTCAGAACAAGAAAACAATAATGGACAACGTCCCAAATGGCGATATCAAAATCCTGATGGGCGACATGAATGCGAAGCTGGGAGGAGACAACACAGGAAGAGAACTCACCATGGGTCCAGAGGCCCTCGGTGAAATGAACGACAATGGTGAACTCTTCTCAGACTTCTGCGCCTTCAATGATTTGGTGATTGGCGGTAGTGTGTTCAAACACAAGGATATACACAAGACGACATGGATTTCACCAGATGGAAACACCAAGAATCAAATAGACTTCATCTCAATTTCAAGAAAGTGGAGACGGAGCCTACTGGACACAAGGTCAAGGAGAGGAGCAGATGTGGGTTCAGACCACTATCTAGTACAAGGGACTTTCAAGGTGAAGCTAAAAGCCTCGAGGATAGCTGGGGATAGGCCACAATGCAAGTTCAACACTCAGAAACTGAAGGACACAACCACAAAAGACACTTTCACTGCAACTGTCAGAGCAAAGCAGGAAACACTACGCGACATCACTGAAGAATCATGCGTGGAAGAACATTGGAAGTCTCTGAAGGCGATTCTCAACGAAACGTGTTCAACGGTTCTAGGAAGAAAGAAGAGACAAGACAAGGAATGGCTCTCAACGGACACTTGGAAATTAATAGAAGAGAGGAGAATGGTGAAAGAGAAAATGATTCAATGCAAGGACGGACAGGAGAAGGAGACGCTGAGCTCAACTTACAAAGCACTGGACAAAGAAGTGAAGAAGAGTGCTAGGAAGGACAAAAGACGATTCTACGACAACCTGGCCACTGAAGCTGAGAAGGCAGCAGGCAAAAGGGACCTGAGGACACTATATCAGATAACCAAGCGAAACCTTTAAAAAACAGCCAAGGGAACCCAATTACCAAGGAAGAAAAACAGATTAAACAATGGGCGGATCACTTCAAAGGACCGACCATTACCTGCAACCCGTCCAGAAATACCAACAACAGCAAGTACACAACTGCAAGTTGACACCAATCCTCCAACGGAAGCTGAAGTCTTGAATGCAATCAAGCTTCTGAAAGCTGGAAAAGCAGCTGGACCAGATGGAATACCCCCTGAAGCACTGAAAGCGGACCCAGAGACGACAGCAGATATGCTGACTCCATTATTGCAAAAGGTCTGGAAGGAGGGAAAGGTGCCTACTGACTGGAGGAAAGGTTACCTCGTGAAACTACCAAAGAAGGGCGACTTAGGCGTCACTCTGCAAGAACTGGCGAGGAATCATGCTCCTGTCGACGCCAAGTAAAATCCTGAGTCGCATCATCCTGGAGAGATTAAAGGACGCACTGGAGACAGAACTCCAGCCAGAACAAGCTGGATTCAGGAAAGGCAAATCATGTTCTGACCAAATTGCAACTCTACGCATCATCATCACAGAACAAAGCATGGAATGGCAATCAAACCTCTACCTCAACTTTATAGACTTTGAGAAGGCCTTCGACAGCGTTGACCGTGAAGTAATTTGGAAACTACTCGAGTACTACGGCGTACCCCAAATATTCATCAACCTTATTCAACAGCTGTACGACAACGGCATATGTCAAGTGATCCACAACAGGAAACTCAGCGAGGCGTTTGGAGTAAACAAAGGAGTCAGACAAGGGTGCTTATTATCACCAATGATATTCCTAATTGTGGTGGACTGGATTATGCGTCAGACAGTGAGTGGGAAACGAGAAGACATGGGTATCCTGGACCGATGTGAAAAACCTAGAAGACCTGGATTTCGCGCGTGGATGATTTATGTTTGATGTCACACAAAATCGAAGACTTACAAGCGAAAACCGACAAACTGGTCGAAGAAGCAGCCAGCGAAGACAGGACTCCAGGTGAACATAGACAAGACACAGGTTATGAAAATAACCAACCAACAACAAAAACACAACAGCAACATCCAGCGCCAATCACCATCAACAGAAGAGATTCTCAAGAGGTCATTTCATTCACTTATCTGGAGGGAGCATTGTCTCAACTACAGGAACGGAGGAACGGACGAGGATGTCAAATCGAGCGAGAATCAGGGAAGGCGAGAAACACATTCATCAACCTGAAACCAATCTGGAAATCTTCGTCACTCAGTCAGCATCAACAACAAAATTCGGTCGGATTTTCAATACAAACAACGTCAAGTCAGTCAGTTCTTCTATACGGATCAGATCAGAAACTTGGCGGGCGGGCGGGTCACAAAGAATATTTCCAACAGGCTGGCTATCGCAGACCTTCATCAACAACTGTATTCGATCTATAATGAAGATCAGATGGCCGGGCCGGAAAGAATCACCAACAAGAAACTATGCGAACAAACAAAATAAAACAAGAACCAATCGCCAACCAACAAATATGCAGGAGAAAGTGGAGACGCTGAGGAGGCCGCTGGGTGACATCGCGTGCGTGTCAGGCTATTGCTCGAGTGGAACCAGGCCGAATGGGAAGCGGCGAGTGGGTCGTCAGTGCGAGGGTGACATGGAGGAGATGGTGTGAAGAGGAGTTGAAACAGTATGGACTAAGATGGATGCAGGTGAAAAGTACAGCAGAAGGAAGACAGAAGCAGCTGGAGACGTGCAGTTGAAGCCCTATGTTCCACTAGGAACCCAAGGAAACAATAATAATAATAACAATCGCCATTCATAAAGGGAACTAATTGTTTTAAATAATAATTATTATTATTAATGTCATAAAGTTGTGAATTACTTTTGCTTTATTTTCGTCTGTTTCACATAATAAATCATCAATTATCTGCTGGACTGTTCTGGACATGTAGCTGCTTGCCATCTTTCTTGATCTAATAAATTATTCAATTTTTCACATTTTTCACGATGAAAACAATCAATGATTAATTTAATCATATTGACGACAAGATTGCGTAATACTAGATCTGATTGAAGACTTGATGATATGTATTGATCATTTGAAGTGTATCCATTATTGGTAGTAGTGAGGTTAGATTTATTATTTGTATCTCCACGATTAGATCGAACAAGCGACTTTTGCGTAGAATTAGGATCACAGTTTTTAACAGATGATAAAATAGTGCCAGAATGTTGTAAAGAATTTTTCGCACTCTCCAACTGAGGACCAATGATTGTTTCAACAGGAATGTCAGAGAATCTTAACCAGGCGCGTAGAACATACACCTTTTTATGTAATACAGAAAATGGGGGAATTGTAATACAAAGGAAAAATATTCTTAAACGTATATCGTAAACAAAGAACACGCTAAAGGATATGATCTAATTATTTTAGGCAGTATAAGTTTATGTGCTGAGGCACGAGAGTAAGTCTTGGTGTGTCAAGCCCTAAGATACCAACTGTATAACAAAAACAGAAGTATGCAAAGCATAATTTGTAACAAAATGGAGATGGATTGATCGGGCATACATTGAGGAGACCATCAAATCACATCACGCCAATGCTAGAGTGGAATCCAAACGGAAGTGACGAGTGGGTCGTCGGTGTGATGTTGACATGGAGGAGATCGTGAGAGGAGGAGATGAAAGATTATGGACACAAAATAAGAAAAAGTGGAGATGTGTTGTTGAAGCGATATGTTCCACTCGGAACCCACGGGAGTAGTAATAATTTTATTATTATTATTAGGTTCCGAGTGTAACATTGGGCTTCGAAAACGCATCGCTATTTCTCCCTCTTCTCTCGGTTCTCTTCAACTGGTCCAACAATTGCCCACGAGGTCTCACCTCCTCCCGAAACGATCACCTCCATATGTCACCCTCGGACCCAAACTCAACTCAACTCGTCGTTTCCTATTAGGTCTCATCCCTCCAGGATCCGCCTGGCGCCTGAGTTCACCCAACGATTCTTCTTTCGACTTCCTTCGGTATATTCGTTAAGCAATAGTTTCTTGATCAGTTCATCCTCAGAGTTGGCTGGTGCTAACTCTTTTCGATTGGCTATTTGATTTTCAGTATAGAGCCAGAGAAGGCAGTTGTTGATAAAGTTTAAAGGAGTTCAAATGGAAATGCTTCCCATTGACGCATCCGCCAAGTCTCTGAACCACAGCACTGAACAACTTGGCGTTCGTGTTGACAATCCGAATCTTGTTCTTTATGCTGAGGGTCAGCTGATTTCCACACTGATTTCAGATGCATGAAGGTCTGTAATGGTTTTACGATAGCGGTTGGCTTTGACATTCTCATCTGTATCGCCTAATAGGCAAAGGAAGTGACCCTTTACAAATCTCTTCCATTGACCTTGGTTGGCGCTTTGTTGCTGTTGTTGTTGGCGGTGGTGGTGGTTGTGGTCAGCTATCTTCATCCCCATTGTCTTGTCCATATCAACTTGAAGTGCTATCTTTACTGTCTGCCTTCTCTGACAACTTGTTGGCTTTCGCCTGTAGATCTTTGAGTTTGTGTGACATTAAATATAAATCATCTGCGAAATCCAAATCTTCTAGAGTCGTTTTGTTAACCCCAACGTATTCCAGTTTACCATTAGTATGAATTAGTGTTTTATCATTGAAAAACCCCATCCATCAAAAATTTAGTTCTAAGTAGAGTGTAATTTTTATTATAAAAGATAATAATAATAAACATACCTGAAATGTACTTAATAATTTGACTAATTCTCGAAAATCACACCATTTCACCTTATCAAAAGCATATTCCCCAAAGCCTGTTGTAGATCCAATATCCACTGATGCAGATGTAATCAGCGTTGTCGTGGATAAACGTTTTTGTGGATTAGGTGAATTCCCGGATGATACATTATTTGTTGTTGTTGTTGATAATGCTGCTGCCACTGGTGTTGTTGTCGTTGTTGTTGCCGTCGTCAATCTTGACTCCACTGGATTACTAGACCCTAAACGGAATCTAGATGAGACAAGAGATGTTAAACGTCTTTGAGATGTATTCGCTGTATCCCAAAGTGTTTCATGCATACACTTGGCTAATTCTTTAGCTTTATCGATACTAATTGTATGCGTTGATTGATGTGATGTTGAAGAAGGAGTGGCAGGAGAAGGAGGAGAAGAAACACTCGGGGAATTAATTATTATTATTATTTATAACACCATTTTCGACAGATTTATTCCGTTGATTACAGCACAGATTCTTTTCAAAGATATCTACAACATCCTAGAATTGTTGTTTGTTTTTTTCAAAAATAACACAAGAGAAAGCAATTTTAATAGAGTTGAACAATACAATACAATGTAACTAAAATACAAAACCTATTCTACCTACCATTAATCAGCATCATAAGAGATTAATTTAGAACAACACATTTAAGCGAACAATATATTGTGTTTTCAATTAGATCTCATCACGCTTAACTCTAATATACATAAGTTTACAAATAAAAATTCAAATATAAACCAATCATCGTGTCTTGACTATAGGATAATAAGATGGTGAATATAAATTGTGCAATTAGTCATAATATTAGTAGTAGTAATAATAATAATGGTTTTATCAGTAATAAGGATGAAAAAGTGAGGCAGTGTGTGATAATTTTCTATACTTTGATTTGTAAGGGTTAATATGTTTTTACGAGTTGATCGCGGATTGATATCAATTAGAGAACCATTGAAAACCAGGGAGTACTAGACAGCTGCTGCTGTTTCATCCTAGTTTGGGAATCATCGCCAGTGCGCACCCACCACCAAGGTTCGAACCCACGACCTTCTGGTTACAAGGAAAGCTAGCTCGTATACCATTCAGCCACTGGGACCCGATTTAATGGCCCATCAATTCTAACTTCTACCAATTCGTGATTTAGCACGACCCCAACCATTGTCGTTGGTGGGACATCCATCCACACACGTGACATTTAATTGGATCTCATTGGTCACGACTTCTCACTAGAAGTCAGGAAACTGCAACCTGTAGTAAGTTACTAGAGAGCATCAGATTAATTTTCTATAGTTGGCTTTGTAAGGGTTTGTTATGCTTTTTACGAGCCATTAAATTGTAACTTAATAAATAGGGGTTTCTTATGTGTAGTCAGAGTCTTCATATGTTTCTTTATAAAACTACTCGGATAGCCCATCTCCGTCAAGGAATCGTAAATATATATTCAAATTCCTTTTGTAAGAGGTCATCCGTACATATCTTCCTTGCTCTGCTCGCAAAACATTTAACAACATTCCTTTTGTATTTAATTGGCACGTAACTAAGGAAGTGTGTGTGTATTGCCCTGTGAATGTGCTTTTTCTACACACGCTTCTTACAAGTGACCCATCTTCTCGCCGACTTAGCAAGACATCCAGAAAATGTAGTTTATTCTCCTGCTCTTCTTCACAAGTAAAATTAAGCGAAGGGTGGACGTGGTTGAATTTCAGCAACAATTCGTCTATATTAACATTCTCATCAGCTAAGATAAATGTATCATCGATATATCGGTACTACATATCAAATTGTTTGATGATGTCCCGTTTTCAAGTTTTGCGAGAAAGAAGTCAGCTAATATGAGGCCTAATGGTAAACCCATAGCTATTCCACCTACTTGTCGATAGTATGAATTACTGAAGACGAAGTGAACATTCATTATGCATTTAAGAAGTAATTTTTATTTGTAAACATATATATATATTAGAGTTAAGCCTGATGAGATTAATTGGAAACAATATTGTTCGCTTAAATGTGTTGTTCTAAATCGTACTATGGGAATATTTAATATATTAGAAGATTAACTGTTATCAAAAACCTCTCCAAGAACAATCTACTTATGATATTTGATGATGCGTATCTGAATAGTTCAACTAATTTTGTAATTCAAATGAACTGTCGTCAAGATTTGACAGAATAGTTCTAAAATATTTGGGCGCCGAGTGAGAAGTAGACATTTGCATAAATTTATATTTGTAAAATCTCAGAGAGATTGAAATGTGCAATTCCAACGTTTCCTACGATCGGCAATCTGGACCGAACTTCTTCAGAGAAATTCATCGAAATTAACACAACAGAGGTTTATATATATATATATATATATATATTTAAGGAACATCTCTTGTTTTTAAAAACTTTGTCCAATCATGAGTCATAAAACAGGTATCAACAAGTATAATGAACAAAATTGTATGATCTGTGATACATATCCATTTTTATTTATGAATCAGGATTTCCCATGCATCAGCTAACATCACACCTCCATGTCTGTTCAAACGTTGGAATTACTCATTTCAATCTCGCTGAGATTTTACAAATATAATTTTTTACAAATGTTTAATCTTGTAATTACTGCCCTTTTTCCCTTGACATATATATATATATATATATATATATATATATATATATATCACTGTTATAACTGCCAACGTAAAGAATAGCAACCACTGAGTGCGAATACCAATTGCCTTGAAGAGTTAACGTCAACGTTAATTTATAGAACCCAGCTTTATAACAGTGCCGCTGTGAAAACTGTTCACGAGTTGACGTGTAAATTTCATCCTTATCTCATATTTAAGGACTGTTTGGATAATAGATTAATAGCACATAGTCGCAAATGGTTCTTGTGGAGGTTGCATGTACATCCATTGTTTTTCAAACGCAATTGATGGACATGCATTCAGATGTACCGACCGTAAAAAAAAAAAAGAAGAAGTGTTCGAAATGGTAAGTCACACACGTTTCTTTTAGAAAACCAAGCTGCCGCTAACTAACAGATACTTTCCATCTGCCATTATAAGGTCATGAAGACTGAGGTGACATCCACGGCTGCACGGAACGGAAATCTCTTTATTTCAACTATCCAATAGTACTAGCATTGTAGGCATATAGAGCTTCATGGAAGATCAATACCGCCACTCTGCTTTTGGCGGGTAGGATGTTATTGTTCATATGCATGAAACTTTTTTTGATAAAGAAAAAAGTGCAATCATAGTCGCCACAGAGCAAATAATGTATGAGTATTGGGACTTTACGGCGCTATCATTGGTGAAAGAATCATGCAAATAATTCCAATTCGTAGTGCAAAGACTCTCCTACATATTAGAAAAGACAGTTAGTAATTCCGGTTAGCATAATTGATACACACGAATGGACAAGATACTATAGGTTAACAGGGTTAAGTCTGATTGAATATCGTGTCAATCATTCATATGACTTTTTCGCCCCCCTCCCGCCCCCCCCAATCGCTAGAACGCATACTAATTCCATCGAAGGCTTCAGGAGAAGACTGAAGAACAGGATTTCACAGATAAATGACCCAAAAAAATGTCATTTTTAATCACCTCGATTAAAATATGTATGGGAACTGGTTTAAATTTGAATCTCATACAGCTCATAGTAACTGGGATCTATTTTTGAATAATGTCAGGGAAAAGTCTCCGTTTTAATGTATTTTATTATCATTATTATCACTTGTATTTATCTTTTTCTTCTAAACAAACGGCTTTATCATGCCAGAATCCAGGCATCCATTTATTGGTCAGCTTCAAGGTCAGTCGTGCTTTCGTACTCCGTGAGCAGTACTCTTTATGTTTGTGTATCTACCGCCCTGTCTTTGACTTAGACCTTATTATCTGTCCTTGTTGACCACTCAAATTTTAATGTTTTTCTTTGGTGTTGTGCAGTGTTATTGATGATGGTAATGTGTTGTTTTACGACTGAGAAATCAAGGTGATGCAATGAAGTACATGCTTAAGCTTCGATTGTCTGCAGCAAAACAGGTTTATTCTGTTTGATTTTAGAGGGAGACATATTTTCTCAGCACTCCGCTTCTCCACCACCAAACACTGCCATGCTATCTCTCTCGACTAAAGAAGTCTAATTCTACCTTCAGGTTAAGAAATATGACAATTGTTGAACTTCGGTAAGTATAACTATATTCCAGAATCTATCAAAGGGTGAAGAGACTGATGAACATACTCTATTCTTGGCTAAAGGTCTGCCTTGTTCTCACGAGTTCTCTCCGAGCCCCACTTAATCTACGCATGATTATTGAGCCTAGAACTCCAGATACCATATCAGTCAAGCTAATCCCTCTATGGTTATTGTCTGTCTGTCTATCTGTTTTCGACATAGAACTTTGCACAAATGTGCACCAGTTCAAGTAGCCACACTCCCCCCTTGTAGAACACAAAGCAAGAGAAGAAAGTAAAAGAAATGCATAATGGACACAGTAAACAGAGGTGCGAGACAAAGGAATAGTAATAACGAAAAATAATATAGTTTCATTGGAAATCATAAGTCACAAGGAGTACATGCATCTGCACCAGCCATTGAGAACGAAGAGTTTGAGCCATATCACCAATTGTTTCCAACCATTGGTTTTCACCATCCCGAGGACCCCAACCAGTCAAGAAGTCTACACCTTCCTACGTGACTGGCTGGCTTTAACTAACTGTTGTGGATTTCATTGAATGATGAAGCCATGTTTTGGTTTGACCACTGCCAGCTCTTTTCCAGCCTGACCCTATGTCAGCTAACATTCCCCATTGTCGAGGCAGGCGATGACTAGGCGTGTATGTGTACCACATATCCTAACCATCTCAGTCGATGTACCTGCACAGCCTCGTCGATTGATTTCCCCTCCCACCTACCTAGAACTCGACCAAAGACACCTCAATATTGCTCACCTTATTATACCACTTCACACGGGAGGCAGAACGCAGGCACCTATAATCAAAGACAACTAGCCACGCTTTTCATGTCTTCCACTCTCAATGGCTAGGTCTCACAGCTGGCCATAAAGCAGGATGGAGCGGACTGATGAGCAGTACACACGCCCTTTGGTCGATAGCCAGCCGGATATCACGTCTACGGCGTGAACTGGCAAATGCGAAACTAGCCCTCTGTATCCCTACTGAGATTTCGTCAGAGACTAACCCGTTGGCGTTAGCTGATGGTACTTCCCAAATAAGTGAAACGGTCAACGTGCTCTACCAATTCACTTCCTATTTTAAAACTAGGAGTGGGTCAATGTAGTCCAGTCATGTAA